ACATCAGTTCTTGAACCCATTATTTGACCATACTGATTATTTAAAAAAACTTCTTTAACATAAAATTTTACAATTTGATTTGGTAAAAATGTTTGATATGGAATCAATTCTTCTCTTGGAATAAATGCAATTATTCCACCAACATCTATTAAAATACGTTTATAATCAATATTTTCAACAGTACCAGATAAAATTTTTCCTTTTTTAGAAGAATATAATTCATAATTTTTTTCACTTTGTAAAATATTTATTGCATGTTTTATTCTTTGTTTTACTCTACTAACTGAAAAATGTGAAAATGACAATAAATCAAATGGAACAATTAAAGTTTCTCCAATTTGTATATTTTTATTAATTTTTTTTGCATCTTCTAATAAAATTTCTGAATCTGGAAAATCATCACTTTTTGTTTTTACAACATCTAATTCTTCAAATGATTTTAAAATACCATCTTTTTCACTACCTTCAAAAATTAAATCTCTTTTTACTAATTTTGACTTTAAATAAGTATTATTAATTGCATCTTTAATAATATTAAAAATTTGAATTCTTGATATACCTTTTTCTTCTTTAAGTTTATCTATTTGTAAATTTATATTAATCTCATTTTTTTTCATATTTAAAAGAAAAATTAGATATTTTTTATATCTAATAATTATAAATATTATATATCTAATATTTATAAATATTTTAAATGATAATTATATAAATTTTTAAAAAATAAATTTTGATTGTTTAAATTTATCAAGTTTTTCTAAAACACCCATATTTTGAAGAACTTTAAAAACAGTTTTATTAACTTTTGTTCTGTTTTTAAAATCATTTGAAGAACTAAATGGTTTAATTTTTCTTTCATAAAGAATTTTTTTTGCAAGTTCTATACCCAAACCATCAACTGAAATCAATGGTGGAATAATTTTTTTAATACCATCTTCATTTATAATTTGAAACTTTAAACTATCTGATTTTTCCAAATTTAATTTTTCAAATTTAATGCCTCTTGCTAACATCTCATTTGCTGTTTCATAAAATGTATACAGTTTTTTTTCTTTAGGTGTTAGTTTTTTTTCTTTATTATTTAAAATATTAATTAAACTAACAAGTTTTTTTTCAACTGCTTTTTTACCTAATAAAACTGTTTTTAAATCAAAAACATCCATTCTTATTGAAAAATAAGTTGTATAAAATTCAACAGGATAATAAATTTTATATCATGCAAAACGACATGCCATAATTGTATATGCAGTAGCATGTGCTTTTGGGAACATATAAGAAATTTTTTGACATGAATCAATAAATCATTTTGGAATTTGTTTTTTTTGTAATTCTTTTTCCTGTTTTATATTTAAACCCTTACCTTTCTTTACAATTATCATAAAATTATATGCATCATTTAAACTTAAACCTCATTCCATTAACATTCTCATAATGTCATCACGACAACCTATTACATTTTGGAAAGTTCAATCTTCATTTTTCATTAATAAATCTTTTGCATTTGACTCTCAAACATTTGTACCATGTGATAAACCAGAAACAGAAATTAAATCTGCAAATGAAGAAACATTTCTTTCTTTTAAAATTCGTCTAACAAAAATCGTTCCAAATTCTGGTAATCCAATTGTACCAGTTGTTTCATTTAAAACATCTGATGGTTTAATACCTAAAACTTTTATATCTGAAAATAATTTTATTATTTTTGAATCATAAAAATCAATATTTTTAGGATCCTTTTTTGTTAATTTAAAAAGTATCTTTAAAGCAGTTGGATCATCATGACCTAAAACATCTAATTTTAATAATTTATTTTTTAAAACATGATAATCAAAATGTGTTGTTAATGATTTACTTTTATCATTTGATGGAAAATTATATGGTGTAAAATCAAAAATATTTTTATTAGCTGGAATAATAATAAGTCCTCCAGGATGTTGTCCAGTAGTTTTTTTTACACCAACACAATTATATGAAATTTTCATTTTTTCTTCAAATGTATATTTATCTAAAATATCTTTTTTTTCTATATATTCCATTAAATAACCATATGCTGTTTTTTTTGCAACAGTTGAAATAGTACCAGCACGAAAAACTTTATTTTTTCCTATTTTTTCAGTAATATAATTAATTACAAATTTAATAGCTCTTTCTTGAAATTCACCTGAAAAATTAAGATCAATATCTGGTACAGATTTTGCATCAATACCAAGAAAAGATTCAAAAGCAATTGTTTGTCCATTTCTTTTTAATTTTATATTACAATTAGGACAAAACATAATTGGAATATCAAAACCAGATAAATATTTTTTATTATCTGCTCATTTAAAATAAAAACATTTATTACAATGATAATGTGGCTCTAATGGATTTACTTCTGTAATATCTAAACAAAAAGCTAAAAATGATGAACCAACTGAACCTCTTGAACCAATTAAGTAACCCATTTTTAAAGAATAATTTGATAATTCATAAGCTAATAAATAAATAGTAGAAAATTTTTGTTTAATAACTTGATCTAACTCAAAATTAAATCTTTTTAATATTTTTTTATCAAAATTTGTTCCATATTTTTCTTTAAATTTAAATAAAGATATTTCTTTTAAAATTTTATCTGCATTTTTTATTTCAGGTAAATTTAATTTATCTTCAAAAATTAATTTATCTTGAATTAAATCAGATAATTTATTTGTATTTTTAATAACAATTTCTTGTATTAAATCTTTATCATTTAAAAAATTAAAATCTTGTAACATTTCATTTGTAGTTCTAAAATGTTGATTTGGAGTTTCTTTTATTTTTCCATCAAAATCATTTAATGGATGTATAGATCCTTTAAGTTGTTTTGTAGAAATAAAAATATCTCTATATAACTTATCTTTTGGATCAACATAATGTACATCACCAGTTGCAATTATTAATTTATTATATTTTTTACATGTTTGAATAATTCTTTTTATTACATCAATTAAATTTTCTTTACTTATTATTTCTTTGTATATTAAATGTGAATAAACTTCTAGTGGTTGAATTTCAATAAAATCATAATATTGTATTAATTTTTCTAAATCTTCTTGAGTTTTTAAATATGCCGCTTCAAATATTTCACTTTTATAACAACCTGCACCAATTAACAAACCTTCTCTATATTTATCTAAAACATTTTTTTCTAAAGTTGGTTTTTTATACAAATAATCTGTATGTGTATATGAAACTAATTTATAAAGATTTTTAATTCCTTTTTGATTTTTTATTAATACATTTATATGATTTGTAAATAAATTATTTCTAATATTAAAATCATTATTTAAAAAATAAACATCTTCAAATTTTATATCATTATCATTAAACATTTTAAAAAAAATTAAAGATAATATTTCTACATCATACAATGCACGATGTGCTTTATGTTTTTCATATTCAACATTATAAAAATTTGCTAATTTTCCTAAACGATGACTTTTAAGAATTTTATTATTTAAATAATATGAAAACATCAATGTATCAAAAATTGGATTTTTTATTTTATTTAAATTAAATTTTCGAAACAATTTATTAACAAAATTAATGTCAAATTTAGCATTATGAGCAACTAAAATATAATTAGAAAAAATATCTTTTATTCTTTTTATAGCATCTTTTTTTGAAATTGAATTTTTATTATACTCATCAATATTAATTCCGGTCAAACTAAGTATAGATTCTGAAATTTTTTTATCAGTTTTAATTAAAAATGATGTTTTTTTTAAAACAATCCCATTTTTAACAACAATTGCTGCAAATTCTATTATTTCATCATAATAAGTTGCTAATCCAGTGGTTTCAGTATCAAAAAAAACAAAAGTTTCATCTTCTAATGAATTATTTGTTTTTTTACTTATTATATTTCCATCAAATGATAAAAAATTAAATTCACATCCTAAAATTAATTTTAAATTATCATGTTTTTTTATATATTTATTTATTTCAAAAAAACTATTTATATTTTCATGATCTGTAAATGCAATAGCTTTATGTCCAAAATGAATTGCTTTTTTAATATATTCTTTAATTTCTCCGACACCATCTAAAGCAGACATTTTAGTATGAACATGAAATTCTATTCTTTTTTCAATTGATGTGTCTTCTCTATCAAAAATTGGTTCAATTTTATCAAAATCAGTAATTTTATAATAATTTTTATCATTTCAAACAGTTTTTTTAATAACAAATGTAAATCAATTATCTTTTTTTAAATCATTTACTTTTTCAGATTTTATAATATTTTTATTTAAAAATGCAAACATTGCACTTTTTTCTGTATCTATAAAAACTTTAATTCTTTTATTATTTTTAAAAACAGAAATTTCAATATCTAAAATTTTACCTCTAACAATAATATTGTTAGATAAAACCGATTTTATATTATTTAAATTTTTATTTTTAATAAGTTTTTTTTGAATATTTTTATATTCTTCTATTTTTTTATTTTTATATTCCAAAAAAGAAATATCTTTTTCAATATTTTGTTCATTTTTAAAAATAATATTTTCAAATAAAATACCTATTTTTTCAAAAAAAATTAATAATTTTTTTTTATATTTTTCGATTTCTTTATATGATTTTGAAATTATTTCTAAATTTTTTGAAATAATTATTTCAAAAATACAATTAATTTCATATTTTTTTAAAAAAAATTTTAAATAATCTAAAATTTGATTCTTGTTATAAAAATCTTTAACATTTTTATTTCAAAATATTTTTATTTTTTTATTATTATTTTTAAAATATAAACTTATTTTTTTATAATCTTTTAAATCAAATGTTTTTTTAAATTTAACAGAAATTAATATTAATTTTTTATCATTTTTAACACAAAAATTATTAATTTCTATAAATTGAAGTAAAAAATCTAAAAATTCGATATTAATTTCTGTTTCTTTTAAAAATTTTTCTTTATTCATTTAAATAATTATAAAATAACTAAAAAATAAAAAATAAAAATTTATTTTTTATTTTTATAATGGCGACAATAGAAGGGATCGAACCTACAATTATGGTTTTGGAGACCATTGTTTTACCAATTAAACTATATTGTCTATATTATTAATATTTTAATTTAAAAAATATTAATAAATATATAAAGAATTAAAATAAAAATTTAATTTTTAAAACATTATTTTTTTAAAAATTCAATTATTGTTCTTATCATAACACCTCTACCTCTATGATTTATATCTGCAGTTCCTGCAATATCTAAATGAATAAATGGTGTTTTTTTTGCAAATGAAAATAAAAATGCAGCAGCATTTGATGAAGTACCTTTATATTCTTTTGAAGCATTTAATAAATCTGCAATTACAGATGATTTCATATATTTAAAATTTTGTTTATGAACCGGTAATCTTCAAACTTCTTCACCACTTTTTTTAGATGCATTTAAAAATTTATTTGCAAATATATCATTATTTGAAAATAAACCACTCATATAATCACCTAAAGTATATGAAATAGCACCAGTTAATGTTGATAATTCAATGATTTCATTAACTTTTAAATTTTCAATTGCATATGTAATTCCATCAGCTAATACCAATCTACCTTCTGCATCAGTATTAGTTATTTCAACTGTTAATCCAGACTTTGATTTAATAACTGATTCAACCAATGTTGCAGTTGAACCGATTAAATTTTCTGTCAAACATGCAATAGCAATAACATTAACATTTAATTTTAATTTTGCAATTGCTTTCATTGTAGAACAAACAATAGCAGCACCTGACATATCAAATTTCATATCAATTTGATATTGTGATGGTTTTAAAGAATAACCACCAGAATCAAAAGTGATTCCTTTTCCAATTAAAGCAGTTGTTTTTTTATTTTTTTTATCTCCAAAATATTTAATTACAACAACTCTAGGTTCTCTTGGTGAACCAGAATTAACTGCTAACAATAAATTCATTTGTTCATTTATTATTTCTTTTTTATTTAAAATTTTAATTTCAACATTATTTAAATCTTTAAATTCTTTAATAATGTCATCAGCAAATGATTTTGGTGTTAAAAAATTAGGTGCTTTATCTTGTAAATCTCTTGCAAAATTTACAGATTCCATTATGATTTTTTTAGAATTTAAAATTTCATTTATTTCATTTTTATCATCATCTAAAATAAAATGAACTTTTTTTAATGATGTTTTTTTTACTTCTTTTTTATATGAAACTGGATTATGTCTTAAATAATAAAAAGATTCTACTAATTTAGAAAAAATTTCTTTTGTTTTAATTTTTTTTGTTTCAAATGTTTTTAAATCAAAATCTAAATCATATCTTTTTGTAACAAAAGCTTGTGAAATAAATTGAACTATTTTTTCAATTGTTATTTCTGATTCTTTACCTAAACATAAATATATTTTATTTTTTTCACTTATTGTCGAATAAGAACCTTCATTTTTTGAAATTAATCAATTATTTAATTTTTTATGATTTTTTTGAAAAAAACCTTCAATAGTCATTTTATATTTTTTTTTATTACCAAATGTAATCATTTAAACACTCCCTTTTATTTTTTTTAATTATTAATTATTACTAATATGATCTACCAAATATTGCTTTAAATTTAGTATTTTCATTACACTTAAAACATTTTTTATTTTCTTTAATTTTATTTAAAAGTCTTGAAGTTGTATTAGTTTCTTTTTTAATTATTTTTTCACACACTTCTTTTCCACAAAAATAAGTTTGATAAATCATATCTTTTTTAGTTATTTTTTTATATTCATCATAATTTTTTATTCATTGAAATTTTTTATTTAATTTTTCAATTGCTTTTTTATATAAAGTTTTATCAATATTTTGAAATATTATTTTTATATTTTCTAAAAAATAATTAAATAAAACATTTTTATTTTTATTTTCAGTTCTTAACTTAAAAGTAATTGTTTTATTTTTAAATTCATTAATACCAATTTCAATTAAAAGTGGTATTCCAAATTTTGTATATTCTTTTTTAAGATAACTAAATGATTTGTTTTCTTTATATATTATTTGAATACGATATCCTTTATTTTTTAAAATATCTTTTATTTCATTACAATATTTTAAAATATTTAAATTATCATTTTTTTTATTTATTATAGGAATTATAATTATTTGTTTATCTGCAATTTCAGTTGGTAAAATTAAACCTTTTTCATCTTTATGTGTTAAAAGTAAACCAGCAATTAATCTTGTTGAAACACCTCATGATGTTTGATGTGGTAAAGAAATTTTATTATCTTTATCTAAAAAATTAATATCAAACATTTTCACAAAACCATGTCCTAAATAATGTACAGTTGATAATTGTAAAAATTGACCATCTGGCAAAATTGTTTCAATTGCTCAAGAATTTTTTGCACCTGCAAATTTTTCAGAAAAAGATTTTTGACCCTCTAAAGTTGGAATTAATAATTTTTTATTAATAAATTCTTTATAAATTTGAAAAATTTTATTACAAAAATCAAATGCTTTTTCTTTTGTTGAATGTAATGTATGACCTTCATTTCAAAAAAATTCAGTAGTTCTTAAAAATGGATTTGTATTATTTTCTCAACGTCAAACATTAGATCATTGATTTAAAAGTATTGGTAAATCACGATATGATTTTAAAATATTTTTAAAATAATATGAAAATAAAACTTCAGATGTAGGTCTTAAAATAAGTTTTTCATTTTGTTCTAATTTTTTTTTACCAATTTCAGTTATAGTTATAAGTTCTGGTTCAAACCCTTTAAAGTTTTCCTTTTCTTTTTTCATATACTTTAATGGAATTAAAGCAGGCATATTAACATTTTCAACATCATTTTTTCGAAAATCATTATCTAAATAAAGTTTTATCAATTCTCAAATTTTTGTAGATCTTGGTGTCATTATCATGGTGCCTTTAAAAAGACCATAAATAAACATATTTGTTTCTTTCAACAAATTAATAAAATTATTATTTTTATTCATATATTTATTTATTTTAAATTATTAATTTTCAAATTTAATTAATATTTAAAAATATTTGTCATATAACCTTTTAATATTTCAGTTTTTGGATCAATTTTATAAAATTTAAAAAAACATTTTATTTTTTTAGATTCTATTTCTAAAAAAAATATTTTTTCTTTTTCTTTTTTATTAATTTTTTGTTTAGTTAAAATAGAACTTATTGTTTCAAAAAAAACAGTTTGTGATTCTTCATCTAAAAAAGAATAAAAAATTTTTTCTGGAACTAAAATTTGTTTAAAAGTTGGTAATTGAATTTTAAAATAAAAATTTTTATTTCTTCAACCACCATAATAATAACAAAAATTTGTTGAAATTATTTTTCATTCATCATCTACAACATCATTAATATTTTTATTGTCTTTTTCATTATATTTTTTTATAAAAAAATATAATGAAAATAAAAAAATAATAATAATAAAAATTAAAAAAAATAAATCAAATTCAGTATCAATATTCACCATAAGTTTTTAAAAATAAAATAAATTATATTAATTTTTTTCAATTTATTAAATAAAAAATATTTATTTTCTTATATTATAAATAAATAAACTAAAAAATAACTTAAATTAAATTTAAGATTATTTTATTAATTTTAGTATTTTTTTTATAATAAAATATAAATAATTTAATTTTTTATTGAATGATTAACTTAATGGTAAAGTATTTGGCTCTTAACCAAAAAATGCGGGTTCGATTCCCGCATCGTTCACCATTTTTATTTTTAATTTTCAATTTAATTTTTTAAACTATTTTTACAAACACAATAAAAAGAAAAAATAATTAAAATTAAAAATAATAAAAATAAATTAATACATAAAATATATTTTTAATAATAAATTTGTTTTTTTTTATTTAAATATTAATAAAAAATAATTTATTATTTCAATCTATTAGATTAAAAAATATTATTTTTTCATATTAAAATATCAATAATATATTATTATTTAAAATTTATTTTTTATTATCTTATTTATGTTATTTTAAAAATTGTAATTAAATCATTATCATTTAATTATCAAATATCAATAAAAAATATTTTATTAAATTTTTGATCAAAATAATTATTATATAAAAATTTTATTAATAAATTTATTGTAATCATAATTTTAAAAAAATTAATAGTTTCTATATCTTTTTTTTTTTTTTTTTAATTTAACTAATAATTCTTTTTTTGAACTTTCATTTGATCTAATTCTTTTTTTATAATTTTTTTAACATTGAAAATTATTTCTTTTTTATTTATTTTTAATAAAACAGAAGAATTAAAATCATTTAATATTAATTTTGTTTTTACAATTATTATTATTATTATTATTATTATTATTATTATTATTATTATTATTATTATTATTATTATTATTATTATTATTACATTTTAATAAATAAAAACCTTTTTTATTTTTTAAAACAAGATATTTATTATTACATAAACTTTTTATTGAAGATGTAATAAATATGTAACTAGTAGTAAATTTATTAATTAATTCATAATATTTATATAATTGTTTTGATAACAAATTATTTATATTATTATTTAGTAAAGTTATATTATTTAATTTTTCTTTTAAAATTTATTTTATATCTGAAGTTTTTAAATTTAAAAAAATAAATTTAAAATTGAAAAATTATTTTAATTATTTAAAAATATACAAAATATAAAAAATATAAAAAAAATTATAAAAGATATATACTTATATCATTTCTCAAACATATAAATTAATATTAACTTTTTTTTTTTTTTTTTTGTAAGTACTTTTTTAAAAAAATTTAATTTAATTATAAAATTAAATTTTTTTTAATATGGATAATATTTTAAAAAATAAAATGGCGGAGCAAATGGGATTCGAACCCATGCATCAGATTATTTCTGATCTAACTCGTTAGCAATGAGCCCCCTTAACCACTTGGGTATTGCTCCAAAAAAATATTATTAATTAATATTTTATATTATTGAAATATTTTTTTAAATATTTTTATGATTTATTTATATATTTAAAATTAAATTTGTTTTTTTTATTTATTTTTAAAAAAAATAAAAAAAAATATTATTTTTTATTTTTATTCATATTTTTTTTATTTAATCTATATTTTTTTTGATATTTTTTTGCTTTTTCTTTATTTTTTTCTCTATATTCTTTTTGATATTTTGAAATTATTTCTTTATTATTTTCTATATATTTTTTTTGATAATCTTTTGCTTTTTTTTTGTTTTTTTCTCTATATTCTTTTTGATAATCTTTTGCTTTTTCTTTGTTTTTTTTTCTATATTTTTTTTGATATTTTGAAATTTTTTCTTTGTTATTTCCTATATATTCTTTTTGATAATCTTTTGCTTTTTCTTTGTTTTTTTCTCTATATTCTTTTTGATAATCTTTTGCTTTTTCTTTGTTTTTTTCTCTATATTCTTTTTGATATTTTGAAATTCTTTCTTTATTATTTTTTTTATATTCTTTTTGATAACTTTTTAAATCTATATTTTTCTTTTCTTTTAATAAATGATATTCAAGTGTTTTTTTACTTAAATTATTATTAAAATTTACAATGATTTTTTTTTTTTTTTTTTCATATAAAATTTAATATTTATAATATTTTTTTAAATATATAAATTTATTATTGTTTTTTTTTTTTTTTTTTCAAGTACTTTTTATTTAATTAAAATAAATTTTTAAAAAATTTTGATAAAAAATAAAAAATTAATATGTTTTTTTTTTTTTTTTTAATTGAAATTAATATATTTAAATAAAAAAAAAGAAATTAATTATTCTAAAAAATTAAACAAAAACACTAATAATTGCCATTAATTTAATGATTAAAATTTGAAATTTATTATATCTTTTCATAATATCTTCTTTAATTAAATATGAATTTTTAAAATCTCTTTTAAAAATTTTTTCACTCATATCTTTACAAATGTCTTTACTATAAATTAATAATGTTGTTTGAGAACTACTATAAAAAGAATAATAATCTAAATTGGATGTTCCTACTGTACAAATTTCATCATCTATTAATATTATTTTTGAATGAATATATGCAGAAGCATATTCATAAATTTTTACATTATTTTTAATTAAATTAATATATTTTAACCTCATAACTGCAAGAACATAATTAATTGTAAATTCTGGAATTATTATTCTTACATCTACATTAATATTAGCTGCAGCAATTAAAGCTTTTTCAAAAGAGTCATCAATTAATAAATATGGAGTTATCATCCATACTCTTTTTTTTGCTTTTCCAATAAGAAAAACAAATAAATCTTTTGTTTTTGTACTTATATCATTTGGTCCATCATCAATAACTTGAACAATATTTTTTATTTTTTTATCTATTGTAATACCATTTTGTTTTTTTATTGGTAATAGTTTAATTGGTTTTGAAGTAATAAATTCTCAATCTTTTAAAAAAATATATTCAATACTTTTTGCTAATTCTTTTTCAACTCTAATATGTGTATCATTCCATATTCCATAAACAGATGACATATGACAATATTCATCACCAATGTTATAACCACCAGTATATGCAATTTCACCATCAATAATTAAATCTTTTCTATGATTTCTATATAAAACAATTGGTTTTATTGGAAAATAATTTCCATAAATTTTAATCTTTGCACCATATTTTCTTAATCTATAAAAAGAACTTAATGGAGTTGAAAAAAATGTTCCAAGAAAATCAAATAAAATTCTAATTTTTACACCTTCTTTAAGTTTTTTAATTAAAATATCTGATATAAAATCAAGACAGTCACCACCCCTTATTATAAAATAATTTATATAAATATACTTTTTAGCATTTTCTAAATCTTTTTTTAATAATTCAAATTTTTGAATTGATTCTATTATTAATTTCATATTAAGATCAAAATATAAAGAATGTTTTGATAAATAAGAAGAAAATGTAAAAATATCTTTTATTTTTCTATTTATATTTTTATTATTTAAAATTATTTTTGTATTTTCTGAACTTTCAAATTTTAAATATTTTTTTTCTAATTTTCTATATTTTTTACCATTTTTTTTAAAACTTAAATAATTACCAATTAATAAATATGCAAAAATACCTAATCATGGTAAAGAAGCAACAATAAAAATTCAAACAAGTTTATATTCTACAAAATGCTTTGATAATTGAAAATGTATCATTAAAGCAAATATTGAAAATGTATGAATTCCTAAAAAAATTAATCAAAAAATGTATGAATGCCCAAAAAAACAAATAAGTGTTATCAACACTCCTAAAAATAAAGATAATGTAATAAAAAACAAAGATAATCAAAAATATGTAATTATAGGTTGTTTTTGATTCATAATTTTTTTAAAATAATTTTTAATTATGTTTTAATAATTAAATTTTGAAATACATAAATATTATTATATTATTAATAATATAAAAGTATTTTTTTAAATAACTTTTAATATATATCAATTATTTTTACCTTTTTTTAATAAAAAATATTTGATTTCATTTGATGTTTTTGTTATTTTATAATTTATATCAATTATTTTTTTATTAAATATTTTTATTCCTCCTTGTAAAATATTTCTTCTTGCATCAGAAATAGATTTAAAAATAGAATTTTTAACCATAATATCAATTAATTTTTCATTATCTTTTACTTCAATAAAACCTAATATTTCTTTTAAATTATTAAAATCAATATTTTCTAAATTTTTATTTTTTTGTAATAAATTTAAAACATTTTTAATTTTTTCTTCAATTAAATTATCATTAGAAATTCAATTTATTAAATAAAAAGCTATTTTTTTTTGTAAATTTCTATATTTTTTATTTTTATAATTTATTTCATATGGTAAAAATATATTTTGTCATATTTTTATATCTTCATCAGATATATTGAAAATAAATTGAAATAAATCATAAAATCTTGTTTTATTTGGATCAATTCAAATATTTTCATTATCTGTTTTTGAAAATTTTTCACCATTAGATTTTTCTAATAATGGTGTTGTTAAACCTACAATATTATTGATTTTATTGTTTTCTAACTTATTAATCATTTCTATGCCAAAAATAATATTTGGAAATTGGTCACTTCCACCAACTTGTATTGAAACATTATAATTTTTTCATAAATAATAAAAATCATATGCTTGCATTAAAATATATGAAAAATTACCATAAAATAATATGCCATTTTTTAAAGATTCTTTAATTGATTTTCTTTCCAACATTTTATTAATTGTAAACAAATTACCAACTTTATCAAAAAAATCAATAATTGACATATCTTTATATCATTGATTATTTTCTAATATTTTAGCTTTAGGAATTAAAATTTTAATTTGTTTTTTTATATTTTCAATATTTTTTTTAATAATTTCAAAATCAATTTTTTTACGTTTTGTTTTTCTAAAACTAGGATCACCAATTCTTACAGTTGTTGAACCAATTAAAATTATAACTTTACATCCTAAATCATATAATTCTTTAACTAATTTTAAAGGAACTAAATGTCCAATATGTAACGAATCACATGATGGATCTATTCCACAATAAACAGTTTTTTTTTCTTTTATAAGTTCAATTAATTTTTCTAAATCAGTTTCTTCTTTAATTAAACCTCTATTTTTAATACTTAATATTTTTTCTTTTAAATTCATTTCAATGGTACCCAAGACCGGAATCGAACCGGTACGAGAAAAATCTCAATAGATTTTGAGTCTATCGTGTCTACCT